GGTAGTACTGGTAGCGCAGGGTCGTGGGGTCGATGGCAGGAGTGGACTCTCGGTATGGTACCCATGGGAACTTGTACTTGCATACACCAGATGCACAGCAGCCAGCATGGCCGCCAGACGAGCAGATGTGCATCTGCTTGCGCAAAACATGTTGAAACAGGTCGTGCTGGCAGGGCTCTTCAGGCTGCTGCCAGTACTCTGCTGTGTAGGGGCACAATGGATGGCTATCATCCCCACGGTACACAGCGGGCACACAGGCGACGATCTCCGATGCTACCCGGTCCACATCCTCTGGGTGCACCCACAGCACAATGTGTGCATGCAGGCTGTGCCGGTTCTGAACCTCATAACGCACCACCCAGTTGGTGATGCAGCCAAGGGCCCCGCCAGCCTGGACTGCCCCCCGGCCCGCCTTCAGCACGTCAGTCATGAAGGACTGCATGCGCTTGTGGGTGATGAATGCGTTCTCAGCTGGGGTGTCTTGCCATGTGAAGCCAGCACAAAAGCTGCAGGCAAAGGACAACAGCACAGCACAGCCGGAGCAGTGCATTCATGGGTGATGGGTGACCGCGTGGCATGCTGGGTGGTGACAGGAGGCAGACGGCAACATGCAAGGATGCCTTCCAAGTGATGCAGTTTGAAGTACGTGCAACTTACTCCTGCAGCTTTTGCTCCAGCGACTCGACTTCGGGCCAGCATGTGGCAGACACTTTATCGGTTGTGAGGGTGAGGAAGAACGACGGCATGCCAAAGCGGTCCACCATGCACAGCAAATCTTGAAGGTTGCTGCGGTGCCATGCAGGCGTGTTGGGCAACGTGGCCGGCAGCTTGTCCTTGAGAATGTGACAGATGGCGTCCTCATCACTCGCATTAGGGTGCTGGGACTTGTAGTCGAGGTGCACACTCTCCAGCACGGCCTGTACATGCAGGCGGGCGTGATGGTCATGACATGAAGTTCTACATGCATGTTGCTGCTCGGAACCTGCAAATTGTAGCAGCTGGGCGGGCATCCCTGTCCAACATTCCAGCATGCATCATGTGCAGCATCTATAGCAAACCCGCCACACACTCACCTCTGTATTTTGCTCTTGCAGCCGGGCACTCTGGTGAAGCACATACATGAGCAGCAAGTACGGCTTGCACAATGTCCACACACTGAAGAGGCACTTGGCGCAGTAAGCTAAGTACTTGACCAAGGTCGTGCCGCCCATAAATGCGCCAACACCAAAGGGAAACAGATAGGGGAACATGGCCATCTCCACAGACAGGCCAAACTGATAGTCCAGTGGGGTCCCGTCCGCGGCAACAGCCAGGTTGAGCTCAGGCTGAGTGGGCACCCGCGGAACCAATATTCCCGCGGTGTACATCACGGGTGCATGCTTCATGGCTGCATGCTGGATGGCA